ATATTAGGTGGTCCTCTTCCAAAGGAAACATCCAGCAGGTTGCAGGAAATTAAGTTACTGATTCAGGAGGTGGCATTTTACCTTTCAGATCAACATCCCATTCATGCAACCTGTGAGAAAGTTCTGCGCTCCCAACGATACCTGCTTTGGGAAGAGTTAGAGGAGTTCAGAGCTTCAGTTGTGGGAAACTCAGTATTTAAAAAAAAATAAAAAATAAATCAGCACCTGTGTTCTGGCCAGATGCCAGCTTAGGCAGGTGTTTCTTGCCTGTGTACCCTTTATAATAAGTCAGCATGTTTGCTTATGCAGATTTTAGACAGTAAAGTTCTGCTGGACCTCCTAAATAATAGTTAATGGCTCAACAAGAGGTTATGAGAGTGAACAATGACAGACTCAGGCATTTGTGGAACTCCTCAGGATATACAAGGTGCTGTGTGGTTGTCCAGAAGTAGAATCTCTTTCTTGGCCTATGTGCCCCCAAAATACTACACAGCAAAGCTTCCCTGGGCCATAAGCTGTTGACAACAAAACAGTCATACATTATATTAGAGGAAAATGCAATCCTAGGTACCTGAGAAGTGTGGACCTTAGCCCTCTGGTTAATAAAAGATGCAGGTCTGGGAAAAGTGAAAAACTGTTGGCTAAAACTATTTAACAAGGACTCCACCTTAAGATGCTCTATTTGTATAGATGTGGTTTTGTAGAGCACAAGTGGTGCAGAAGCACAGAAAGCCAAGGATTTGTGTTTCTAAATCTGCAGACATATCCAGCTGCTCCCAGCTGAGAAATATTAACAGAGGGTAACTGGCTGGGATGCTGCTGGAGCTGGGCAAACAAAAATCTTGAGGTATCCCTCAGCACGTATATCTTTCAAATGAGTCAGATTTGTCACAGTTCTGAAAAAACACAAAGGGCTTTGCCTGCTTCATTGTGTTTGAGAATTTATTACCCATCTTAGTCATAGGGGAGGGAAAAAAAAAGATCTGCAACTCAGCTAAGTTACAGCAAGTCACAGAGGCTTCCCAAGCCATGAACTGTGGGTGTTCAGTGCAAGGTTGTTTAGCAAGGCCTAAATTCAGGCCATAAGTGATTTTATAGGAGACTGTAAATCACCTTAACTTTTATACACTGTGGCAACATGTGAGGAATGTGGCTGGTCTGTGTGAGTCCCAGAAATGCTCCCAGGTGAGGGCAGCAGACATGCAATACCAAGCCTTGGAGTAAAGTACTCAGACTTGTACCTGTGCTACGTGTGTGTGTGACAGAGCACAGCAGTGCCACAAGAACAGAATGCACAAGGGCAGCTGGAGCAGCTGATGGGAAGAGCCTTGCTAAGCAGTACACAAACTGTAAAACACAAGTCAGACAAAACATCTGGCAGCTGCTTCAAATAGTTTTCTGTCTGAAGAGCAGACAAGCCTGCAATAGTTTCAAATCAAAACACGTGAAAGGACAGGATCAGTGCTCCAATGTGTTTTGTGCAAGCATTGAATGAGTTTTGGTTCCTTCAGCACTGTCTTGTATGCCAAGAAAGGCAGTGCTTTTGGTTAGGTTTTTAATTTTAATAAGCTATACTAAATAAATCACTATATTTCCTTCTCCAGTCAAATGCAACTTAATCTTTGGCATAGGGTCAACAGCATTAGGTCCGCATGGGAAGCATATGGGAGAGAAGGGAGGAGCAGGCCAGGAAATGTTTTTCATAACCATGTTACCTTGTGCAGGAGAGATGCGACTGCTGAAGTTCAAGTATCATGCACATCCTTCTAAGTTTGCACATCCAGGCACAGGAAAAGGGAAAACTCTCTTGTGCCAATAGTGGCTAAGGACTTGACAGGTACAGACTGATGTCTAGACTCCAACAGGGAAGTTGTCTGAGCTCAGAGAAATCAATTCTCTGTTTTGCAGATAAAGAAGAGAATTGGCAACCGTCCTCCAAGCCCCCAAGTGTTTTTTCTCTTGACATTGTCATAACTTTGACCAAGATCCACAGTAGGGCTGATTGCTGGCATAGACAACAGGAGCATAACCTGCACTCAAGAAGGCTTTTCTTTTGACAGGAATTGTGACAGGAGTGCTAAAGTAGTATGACATACTTCCACGTCAGCTACTAAACTCCTCCATTAAACACTTCCCCTCTTGTACACTTTTCTAAATTCAAATTTCTTTCACCAAAGCCTCAAGTTCTAGGAAGGAACAAAAGCTACTCTGCTTGTCTAGAGCATCAGGATGCCAAGATTCCCTGAAGAACTGGCAAAGCACTTCTTTATCACCAGCAAGGCAGCAGCAGGCAAATTATCAAGGCTAGAAGCCTCCTGTAAAATCGGCATTTGCATGAACAGTTCCACGTGCATGAATGTGATTAGTCAGCAACAGCAGAAAGATGAGGTGCTGGCCTGGGTTACAGGGTTGGTTTTCAAGGCAGGCCTGATAGAAGTAGGGTTTGCAGTTCTTATGCTGCTCAAAAAGGAAAGGTCTGCCTGCTGCATACCAGTGCTTGAACACTGGCAATAGCAGGAGCAGCAAAAGAGCCCCTGATTCATTATGACTGGCTAATCTGTGATATCATTTGTTGATTCCACCAGGTCCAATCCCCATCTCATGACTTCCTCCACTGTTGCCATGGCACTGTACATAAACACTGCAGACTCCCAGCCCTGAGCAGGTCATTTGTTTCAAATATTCCATGCAGCTGGAACATGAGCCTGTTTGGGTGTCTGGAGTTGAGCATGAACTAATTTCTCAGTCTTCTGCAACCCACCCCACCTTATGCACCCTCCCCAGCCTGCTGCTGTCCTAGGACCCATCTCCAGCCACACCTCCAGCAAAGCAAGCAGTCTTCCACTGAAAGCTGAGGGGAAGCTGCCCTTGTTCACATACAGGCAGAAAATAAAGTCCTTCACTACCTGCAGCAAAGCAGAAGTGATAGTTAGTGTATATGCTGGATATTTAGGCTTAGAATCTACAGACAGTTGTCTTCTATGTGTGAAAGACAAACAAATAAGATACCTCAAAACTGAAAATTTTCTTGCCCTGGCCAACAGTTTGTACTCCAGATTTTATTCAACTCCATCTTCAGGAACCATTTTTAAGCACTACTGGCAACACTACAAAATCTCAGATTAGCACATCCTACCTGTCCTTCACCTGTACACACTTTTTAGATGCCAGCTTTAAAAACTGTTGTTCTTCCAAGGACACACCACTTCTTGTCTTACCTGTTTGGGCTTGCTTCTTGACAGTAAGCTCACCATTCATGTAGAAAGTAGTTATAAAATCTGATAATTTCATACTAATAAAAAATCAGCATCAAGTATTATTTAATAAACTTTATTAGGTTACTGAGTATTATCTACAGTCATAAAATAGAAAGTCAGAATTTAAAACTGTACAAAGCAATGTACTGGTGAAGTGAGAAGAGATGGAAACAAGGGAGCACAAATAACATTAGAAGTAGGGAGAACACAGCTGCTTCCCTGGAGTTTTGGAAGACACTGGTTCAAGTTGAAGGCAACCAAGTAGGGCTCCATATATACTGAATTTTCTTGTGCCCGACCCTGTAACATAAACTAGTACAAACCTCTACATTTAAAAAATCATATAATATTAAAAAGGGGCACTTCACACCCCACCCAGTCTTGGCAGCAATTCTGTGCTTTAAAAAATATACTATGCAAGTAGTTTATTTTAAAAAAGGTACCCTACAGCAGCTGTTTAAAACTTGTTCTTATACATACACCACAAATATATATATATTAACATTTTCAACTAAACTCATTTGTACCTACACAGAACTGAAGGGATAATTCGGGAGCAAAAAAACCAACCACACAAACAATTTTCAAGACAAAGAAATGTGCAAAATAACCCCAGAAAGGCAGCATAGTAACCTGTGGAGAGGTCAAGAGAGCAGCTCCTGCTAGTAGAGGAGTGTCATCCTCTTTAGTTGGCTGCTGAGGTGAGAATCTATTTGGGATGTGCCGATTTTGCCTGAATTGCTAGTCCTTTTTATTGCAGTTCTCTCCTGCCCCCCATCTCCAGCTCTGGAGCAGTTCAGTTTCTTCTTGCTGTGCCTCAAGGTGACCCCACTGGCTCTGTTAAAGTCTCACAAGTTACATTCTGCAGCAATCGCCTTCTGATTTCTCATGTGCTGATGGCACTTCTGCAGCCGCTGCTATCACCTTTTCTGGGACAACTTCC